TAATGTATAATGCTTTCGAGACTTGACCAGAAGGAACAATTAATCGGAGAAACTTAAGGACTAAATGTGCTTGGCGTTGGTTTCTGTGTCATTTAATATAAAATATTAACTGGGATTTTTCCTTTGTTTTTAGATATTATACTTGAGTGAGGCCTCGATTATTGAATACCAATGCGTCAAATTCAGAAGTGGCTTATCATTTTCGGTTGCCCTTTATAAGCATTAATACGGATGCATTGTGGATGGTTGAAACCTCGCCGATTTGCAAACTTCTGTTCACATATTACACAACTTATGGTTGCATAGCTTAACTTAGACAGTTATCATTTGTCCATTTAAAACTCGCGGCACTTACCAGCCTTTCCTAATTTTTTTACTTTGGTAAGATCACGAATATCTTATAAAAATGTCCTGTTAAACATACATTTCACAACAGATATCGGAGTACGTTTAAACCGATGGCCCCGTTTTCTTAATAGGAATTAAGTTACAGCCTTAACGCTCGATTTGCAGAAGTACGAAGAATGGATTGGCTGCATGTTTAGTATTCTAAGTCACATCGACTTTATTTTGTCCGTCATAATACATTCCAAATCAGGCGTACCATTTTCAACATCTTGAACATTCTGGGGCGTATATCTATAGCTAAAATGCCGTTTTTGTGACAAAAGTAGTGATATCACGCGCTGAAGCAATAACAACTGACGCAAACTACCACTCGAACAGTTTCCGTATTATGTTGATACTTTAGACAAATTTGGCCAAACGATAACCCACTAATAGCTGTATTGAATTTGCTTGAGAAAGATAATTGCGTAGTCTTTGAAATATCTACCAACTGACATCTTTTTTGTTGCAAACAGTGTCAGAATTAAGGACCAGGTTGTGGTAGAAGGATTGCTACACTCAGAATTGTCGCCGTGAACAATGTTTTAAGCTCCTCAACAAGGGATATCAATGGATCCAAACTAGCAATGACGTTGCGCGATAAGACACTTATAAAAAGCTGCCATGTCATACATTTATCAAGCAAAGAGAGGTAGAGTTGCAAAGGTCTCATTTTGCTAGTTGTAGTCAAAATGCAATATATAAGTTAATTCTATATCCGACATCCAATTTTAAATGTATTCCATGCTTACCGAAAACGTCTATTTGTCATGCACTGGAGAAAATATAAATAGCATTATTCGTTGAGACGATGGTGTATTTGGATAAATGTAAAAGAATAGTACACGCTTTGTCTGCACAATTCGCAATGACACCTTCCTATACGTAACACAGTCTGCCATTAGAGAAGTCGGTTTTGCGCTTAAACATAGTTCTGTGGACGTGTTGAGCATATTTTGCGTAAATCTTTTCTGTTTACAGAAACGTTTTTTGTGGTCTGCCAATATTTGAGATTTTCTTCGTAATACATAAGCGGTTTTGATGTATGCGCGATAATTCTGGTAATTGTGGTTACAGAAATAATTTGTATTTAGAAAAATAAATGTGAAATGTGTTAGGTCTGCCATTGCTGTAGCGATTATTTATAAATGTTCAAAGTTAATAGACCAGAAACACAGTGAACCTTGATAATCCGCCTTATTTAAAAACACATATAAACATTGTATATAACCTGGTAAATCAGTCATGGTGTTTGATGTTTACGAATGTGGCAAAACTAGCAATTAATCAGATGCGCACATTCTTTTTTGGCAACGGACGTCATTTATGACCATAAGCTACAGTTGGTAGGTTAACTTATGAAATGTCGGCTGAAATTCCAAAATGTCTTTTCGTTTCCTAAAGATTATTTAAGAAGTTGTATTAAACTAAACATCATGCAGCCGAATTCTACAATAATTCGGTAACATTCGCATGCTGACTTTTAAACAAACGTCTTTTTGGCCGCATACAAAAACTGTATTCTGTTAAAATTATCTCCTTATTTGGCATGCATTTTTTATTTCAATTCCTTAAAATATTTGTCTATATTTCATAGACCACATGAGTAAATTTTGATTATTTTTACTAATTTGGTAGAAAATAATTATTGCTAACGTAAGCTGGGCGGTCACAAAGGTTATGTCGATGGATTTACCATTGCGGCTGGTAAAGTAAGCAATATGGACCAAAAACAGTGCAACGTTTTATGAGCCTCATATGGTCTACTCTTAAGACTGTGGATAAACATAAAATTTTTTAAAAGCGGTAAATATACAGTTTGTGGTTTAGAAACCCTGAATGAAAGTGTAACGGCAGGTCGAGTTCAAAATAATTTAGGGAATGGTAACGATTTTGCAGACCAAATTGTATCCTTAGCGTAAACAAATAGAGACAAATGTTATTTTTGCCGAATGTTTTAACAACTAAATATGTCCATGAAATATAATTTAATTTTAAAGGGCATCAAAAACATGGAGAAAAATGCCTGCCACTTAATTAGTCACTCTTTACTGAATACAGTTTTTGCACGTACCCACAATGAAATTCGTTCAAAATCCGGCATCAATAGATAACCAAATTATTACAGAATTATGCTGTAGACAGATTATTTTTACAAACCTATTTAACTTTTATTTTTGGGTGAACCCATCTACTGCATATGTATAGTTTCTCTGGGTTTTCTTTCCATCAGGGCCAAAATTCACAGAACTTCAATCAGGTCCTTGAAGAAAAGAATACAAAACGCCTTAACACGGTCGTAAATACTAAAAGATAACTGTGGATGAATGTGTCTGTCTTGTGAAAATTGTGTTGCGTAAGAGGCGTCACCGCATACGGCTCGCAGACAGGGCGATGTTTTAAAAATAATTTCGTACCTTTTTTGAATGACCATTGAAAGTCTGTTTTTCGGATTTCCCTATTATTGCTGGTCTGGAGCTACCGCAGTTTGAATAAGAGAGACTTATGGATAACTCAGAACTTCTACTATATCTTGACAACACATGAATTTTAGAATATTGCATCACTCATTCCGTACGGAGGAAAGATCTTTTAAATCTGCCTGCAACGTCCAAATTCTGTGCATATAATTAAGTAAACGGTAAAATATCATACGAAATATTTCAACTTCACTGTCTGATCGATTTGTAAAATATTTTTAGGTAAAACTTGGCATTCGTCTTTGATTTAGTCGTTTATGGCCGCGTTAAACCCGGATGACGATTTTTTAATTGCTCGGTATCCCAATTAGCAAACTTTTATTTCACTCGCTTATGCGTTCTTTGGATTGTGGGGGATATTTGCTCTCAACCTAAGGAAAATCGGTCATTGCTCTTTAATACTAAGAATGTGCCGCTCGCGTTGTATACCTGATAAGCGCACCCTATATACCGTTAATTGTGATGCTAGTTGGATGGACAATAAATGGTCTAAGAAGCTTATAGTTACAAGGTCTTAGTAAACAGAATTTCATCTATCGGTTGATTATTTTGTTTGAGGTGGATGTGACCTAGTAACGAATGAGTAACAGGAAGAATAGTTTTGCATATTGTAAATAAATCAAAATTAAACTTATAAAGGTACATCACAGATCAGGGTAACGTCGCACTTAATACGCGATAAATATTAAACACTGCCGTTTGTATAACCTGTCGAGGATAATTTCGTGACTGATATATAGCTTAATGTATTTTGTGCTATAAATTATGTTGCTACATAACGGAATTATTATTTCATAATCAAAAAACAAATTTACGCATTTTGCGCTATACTTAATGACTTAAGTCACCAGGTTTTTGTCCATATTGTCAAAGTTCGTTGTCTTTACTTCACCTTTAATCTGTAGGGGGCTTTTCTGGCATTGCATACCGGTTGATTTCGGCGTCTAGTACAAAATTTACAATCGTGTAGTGGACGTGCATTTTTTTAAATGAAGCCACAGGTCACAGAGTATTCATAGGATTAAACAATTACCCAACGTCGATCAGTAAAAGGCGACTGGCTTCATAGGAACTGCAAATAAGGCGTAATTTTTTAATTCTCGCAACTGGGACATCATCACTGCACAGGTCCGTACCACTTCAAAATCTAAAGCAAACAATTTTGAAACAGTCAAAAAAGCAGAATTTGTTGCTGTTATCAAAGTTCGCGACAATAAATTAAATGCAAAATTTCACTGCGCAAAAAGAAAACAAATTAGAAAACCTAATTTTTCATAGATAATCTAGCGCACAACTGGCAGGTCACCTTTTGCTGCACTCAGTACAATTAATGAAAATGGTACCTAGAAAACACACTTTATGAAGAGTGAGTTGAAATTTAGCTCGCCAAGTGATGTATGTGTGTGTAAATCTAAGGACTCGGGATTGTTGGAGTAAATTAAGGGTGACCATGCTATCTATCCGTATGCATAGGTCTTGTTCTCTAAAAGCATATAGACAGGTTATAAGTTGTGTAATGAGCAAGCTGATTGTGTCGCGAACACTAATCGAAGTGCTGTGAGTTTGTTGATACTAGTGGACTGTGTTATGTATGCACGCTTTTTGTTTAATATGAGGCATTATTTCTGACTCAGGTGAATGAATGCCATGCAGCATTTGTCTTGCGATTATCATTTTACGTAGAAGTACCCATCACATCGAAGCTACTAGTACAGCTCTTGCTTAGCACATGAATACATAGTTGATGCTTGCCCTGAACAACTTGAACTTCCCACGACTGACTCGATTGTCAACGGGAAATGCATTAGCTCCACTCATAAAAACGTGTTTACAGTTATCACTGTAACGAGCAAAATAACAGAAATAGTCCTTAAAGTTAAGTCAACCCACCAATTCTTGAACAGCTTATTTAACCACATATGATTAAATGCGCGAATAATATAATGCAAAGTAGTCTTTTCGTTCTACAGCTTAAGCCAGCAATGCACTCATAATTTAGGCTGATTAGTGGTACAAACAGATCTTTTGCATAAAATATTATCCGATTGGTTAAGAGCGTATCATCGAACGTATAAATTCTGAAGTCCAATGCTAGTGTGAGATAACTGAAAAAGATATTTGAAGAGGCGTTCAATGCTTTCAAAACAGCTCTTTCTGCTGTGTTTCATAGGGAGCGTCATCGCATGCCACTCTCAGACAGGTGCGATGTTTTAAAAATATATCCGTATCTTTCTTGAATGACCAATTTAGGTCAGCTTTTTATCTCTATCACTGGATAGCTGCAGACTACATCAGACATATCTACATGTAGAGTGAGACGGCACTTATTCTTGACTCATAAAGGCTGATCTCAATTTATTATACATACCTTTCAGAATAATTGAAGACCTAAAACGTACAGGAGTAAATTTATTCAATCCGCCTGAGAAATCCAAACTCGGCATACATATTTAAATACGTAGCCAAGTTATACATCATATCAGACGACGAATTTTAAGCAAACAGCGCTGGTCTATTTTAGCACAGAAATACAGGCTTAATACTTACCTTGAACCAATTCGACTTATTAGTATCGACTTTATCAGCGACTGCAAATTTATTTATAACACTAACAAAAGCTCATTCGCCATTGTCAAAATAACGAAAGAAATTCCAATGTAGCTCTAAAAGTCAAATTAACCTACCACTTATACAAAGACCAATTTAATCACATAAGCTCAACTGGGTGGAATTATATATGACAGCGTATTCTTTGCGTTCCATAGTAAAATACAACAAATCAGACATTTTTATTTTCCAGGACGTGAAAAAATTCACAAACATGTAGATATTGCAGGACCATTCCTCGCCCGCGGATTTGAGGCCCTAAACCAATCACTATCTCTTCTTGCAAGATATGAAGATGGACTATTTCAAAAATTTGTTTTCGGAGAGATAAAACATCGAAGGAATTGTTTTATGTATCGCCAATTCGACCAGGAATGGCATGAATGTAGCGGGGTCACTTTGCCAATCATTGTGCACTCCATAGTTGTAAGTTTATATTTTATCCAATCAGACTACTCTTCACCGTTTGAATTACCATTTTAGTAGTATTAAACGTTAATCACCCAATTTATTTGGTTGATGTTCTCTCGTATGTAGTGGAAGGACGATAAATCTGATTTTTTTGCGGCAGAACCAATTCATTATACTGGTATCGAAACCACGATTTCGGGACGAATAGGAGGCACTTTTCCAAAAGTCAACTGCAGCATTGATTATTTTGCCTTCATAGTAAAGCCCCGACAATCCGTCGAGGATATCAGACTGCCCTACAGGAATATTTCTGCGCAACTACTAAAAAGCAATCTTGCATGGAATCTTGCACACTTAAAGAACAATGTACCACTAACCTGTTGATATATGTGCTTTATCATTTTAAAGTTTTCCCACTTCAACTTGAAGTGTTTCTTTTGACTTTTCCTTACTTTAGCAAAATTCTTAAACTTTAACTGAATTTCTAGAGGCGGCTGACCAGCTGCACTTTTCAGTTTGACCTAATCGGTATTGTGCGATTGGGATTAAACGTGGCGATATTTGTTGTGGCCGAAAAGCATTGTTCCATACAATTTATGTATTAAAAGCAAGATAAACTGCCCTTTAGCATATGCGCCGCGTTTGCGTAGATAAAAGCCCCTCATTGTAAGCAGGTAACGGGGCATAATGAATTGTATTCGAATATCGTTGGGTCTTAACACATTTTGAAGAGTCGCCCGTATATGTTGCTTTTAAGTAATTTCTTACGGGTAAAGTGAAGTTTACACGTAATATTATGGTTAATGTTACTAGCGTCGTGGTAATCTGGCAGAAATTCAATCATTTTAATCATGGAGTGTCAAAGTTTGTCTTTTTAGTATCAAAACACAGTTCTTCCAACGCCGATGTCATTTAATTTTACTCGCTTCATATTTCATAAGCTTGCATTCTAGTTTGCTAAACAAAGCACACCATGGATATAGAAGTTCATTAACCGCACAATCTGCTTTCACAAATGTGCACAAACATCTTTTGAAAGGTCGGGCAGCGAGAGGATGATAAATACCGATCAGTATGAGGTCAACCAACACAACATGCTACTTTAAATTTAATTTCTGATCGGTTAAGTGCATTTTACGCTTTGAAAATGGAAGACCGACCGAGCTCTTTTAAAACGTCAGCATTTAAATAAACCGGTACCGGAGAGTCTATCTTCCTCTTCTTCAACTAATCAATCCGGATATGTAAACTTTGCCTGTCCGTACAAAATTCATCCAAAATTGTTGCCTCACATAACAATGTTGTTTCAAAAATGAGTTCTACATTCCGACAAACAGCGTCGTTGGACAGACACATGGGGCGTCGCATTTGTAAAACCTTTACCTACACGTTTTGCCGATACAAACAATGATGCAGGATTTTATTTTTGGAACAGAAAAGTTATTTATTAGACGCATTTTCGTAAAACCCGGCAGCCATGAAGAAACTAGAACCCAAGACAAAAGGTTCGAAGATAAAGTTTAAGCAAAGGTTTATCCAGTTTGAATTTGAGACGTCAAACCAAGGCCGTGAATGTGAACATATTTGTGTAGGTCATTTATCAATATGACTGCAGTAAGCAGAATTGTTTGGCAGTTGAATCATGAAAATATGTCACGTTCTGCAGTGTTTACTTAGCGTAAGACCCAACGAGCAGCGATACTGCATTATACCGAAGTATGCCAATTGGGCCTTCGGAAATGGTCGCTTCAGAAGTTTTAAGTTAGCCTCAAGGATTTTTATGTAATTCCTAGTGCTTAATCGAATCAAGTGCTTGCATGAGCGGCCGCCCGACGGTGGATGTTTAGGCGTCGCTTAGTCTATGAGAGAGGAAGACGTGTCTGTCTGAAATGCGCAGATCGCAGTGATGGATATTTTGTTAACTAAATCGTCGAGTTACATTTGACCGACGGATTTGTTATTAGATTTAGCTCAATCCGGTAAAGAAAATCAGCAAGGCTGTCCTCATGAACATGGTGAATACCGTAGATTTCGGTTAAACGGATGACTGAAAATCGCCAAGTCTACTAAACAGGAAAAACCATATGACCAATGCAAGAAGGATGCACAGTTATGGATGGGCTTAAAATAACAGAATTTGAAACCCATTTACTGGAGTACACAGTCGAGCAAGGGTTTCGCAGAAGCCAACGGAGCTAAAGTAGGAATATGCTCCAGACACAAATTTAAATGACACTGGTTTGATTAACTTTCTAAATATTTAAACGTGTCCAATAAACAAAACCCAACATAATAATATCCAAGGGACTAAAATGAGGACATAGGCTGTCGCATCAGTTCAATACAGGTAGACCTCGTTATATATGTGAAGGAAACAGCGCACTTCGGACGCCATTGTAATTTATATTAAATATCTGTTTAATTATATGCAGAGGAGAAATGTGAAGATTACTTCGGCGGAATTCTGCAAGTCGAATTATCTCATGAAATTTAAAATGACAGTTATAATAAGAACTAAGAAGGCCTAACGCATTTGTGCAACTTAATCGCAGCAAAAAAGACTTTCAACTACCAATATTGTAGAGAGGATTTCCTACGTTGTGTAGGCTTAGTAAAGCAAAGGCATATGGAAATTGAGAAGACGTCAGCAGAGGTAGCATGCTCCTACCCACGAAAGTCGGAAATAGCCTACAAGCTTTAATTCCTACTTAAAAGGTTAGCACAAAAAATATGTTACCCACGAGTCACCTTCCACGTTATTAATTAATTTATTTTGTCTGGTCTTTTGGATGTATATGTAACATACAATTTTTCATGCATCGGATATACAGCATGAGGGCTGCTGCTTACGTTTACAAGATGGACGAGCTTACACCCACCGATGTTAAAAGTCTTCGGCGGCATAAATACCCATCTAAACCGTCAGAATGGGTCTTATTTAGTACGCTATATAACGACTAAATTTCCGCAATATAAATCTATTTATCTCGCCTCTCATCGTCAATGAGAAAAAAACATGTAACAGCAACTGGGCACGTAAAAGGGAAAATGACGCTAAGGATCTTGTACATGGAGACGGTTGCTTGCTCCTGTGAGCTGCTAAGACTCTCCTTGTTGCTCGGTAAAAACAAACTCACTATTATCAGCGCAGTTAAGCATAAGGTTTTGTCAACTGGTTTGTTTTTATGCGATTTCTTCCCAAACCAGAACTGATCTTGTCTTTGTGTTGACCTGTGTTTGACAGACAGTCTGTAAGCTCTACCTCGGAGTTAGTCCATTTGTAAAGCACTACAGCGTCCTCTACTGCAAATCTCCTCATTTCTGCTCCAACTACTCTCCCACATTTTTTCAAGGTCGCAGGCCATATCCTGACTACGGACGAAATTGTAAGTGTGCAAAGACAGCTGAAACGCATATATACGGACTTGTGTTAAAGGTACTGTCTAGGATGTTACATTAACGGGCATGAATTACCACATTCACCAGTACACCCATGGGAGATAGCATGAGAAAGAAAACAGTGAGGCACTTAGGTAGGATAGCCTAGGCCAAATGTATGTAGTTGATAGATGTTTGGGCTGATATTAAATGATTAATATTGATCAAACAGTAAAAAACGGCGGCGGTGGGATTCGAGGCCACGCAGAAAGAGGAAGACGCTAGTTCAACTAACGCTCTAACCACTTGAGTTACGAGGGCCCGCCGGACGATGCGATCGTTTACTGTCGATTAACAAAACCACGAAAAAAAGTATTTCAAGCCACCGTCATCTACTATCCTTAAATCCCCACACTCTAGAAAAGGATACATCAACAAAAATACGAACGATATCATCAGCAAACAATGTCTCGTTATTCAGTGATTCCCTAAATCGAACGATAACACTCCTAAAGAGCGGGTTTTGGAAGATGTAACGCTTTTCCAATGTTTACTGAATATTATTTTGGAACCCACTGGGCAGCTGAAGTGCTCAAAAGCTTCCGTTTCGGAAAACGGCCAAATGGCCTGTACTAAAGCGTTCCCCTGTCTCTCAAAGTTGTTCTTGTACGTACGGAATAAGCCGGGTTGATTCTCTCACGGTGCTTCATAATAAAAGGCACCAGCCCAGCATTTTTCAACTAGATTGTTCGCTAGCAGAGAGGCTGAAAGGCCTTCTGGTTAAAGAGCTGAGGAAGAGACTCGGCAAAGGAGTAAGACGATTGGTCATCTACAACAACCGAATCATTCTTTCTTTGGACGAACCCAATCCAAATGAAAGCGTAGCTGACATGGTTTCCAAAAGTCCTAGGGGCATCGAGGCCACTTCTGCGACGGCCATTAATCGCAAGCTGAAAATGTATGCGATCATGTTATTGAAAGACGACGAGTTAGAGATCCATCTATCTGATCTATCACCGGATGTAATCTCACCTACAGAAACTTGGTTAAATCAGCAGGTAGATAACCGTGAGTAAATTATATCAGGATACCAGCTGATTCGAAAAAACAGGTGCGGCCGTCAGGAAGGAGTCGTATTAACGTATTTTACCCATTGTCCTTTGGACTCTGACAAAAGTGATGTACTCACATGTTCTACTGAGACAATTTGGCTAACTAGAAAAGCACCGGGTACAACAGGCTTCGCCGTCTTGACAGTCTACCGTTCGCCCACAAATGATCCCATGGCGGATGAGCGTTTGGTTGAGGACCTGGAGAGATTCCCTATCTGGTACGAAGTCTTTATCCTGGGAGACCTTCATACCAAATTATATGGCTTAGAACCGATGTCGACTGCGTAATCTTCAGTTCAATCCATTTTATCTGACGGAAACGTAGGTGTTAAACATTTGAGCCCCCTATCGTTAACAAAGAAGCAAATTAAAGCAAAGATTTTCAAATGGAACCATAAAAAGCAACACTAATTTTCGAAACTGAACAGACAAACGAATATTTCCAAGTAGTAAAACATTAACAGGCTTCGCGAGAAAGGGCATGTTTAAGTTCAAGTATTGTTTTTGACCAACGCCGTCTTACGCGCGGATGGTGAGGATGGGCAATCATCTCAGACCAATTCCATTTACATTTACTTCTTTACTTGCTCCTGTGGAGCAGGCTACATTGGTCGTACTGGTCGGCACCTATCCGCAAGAATACGAAAATGCCTGCAGGCATGGTTAAGGAAGGGTGAGTTTAATAGAATACAAAGCTCCATCCTCGAACACATGATTG